TTGGTAGTGGTTATGGCTCTGGCTGTCGGCTATTAATGCCTTTTTGAAGTTGTTTAGACCATAAAAGGCCATAACAAAGTCGGACGTGCAGTGCATTTGAAATCAATTTTTGGTCGAAAGCTTTTTAGCCAGCAGCAGCCGCGACTTAAACCACGGCTTAACTCGTGCTGAAAGCCACCACATTTCTTTTCAGCTGTGGTTGCAGTGGAAAGTCGAAAGTCGTTACCAACTTTTGTGCGCAGTAAAAGCTGCGATCAGCTGAGCTTTAAGCGTCGTCAGAGAGCTTTAAGCTGCGCTGCGGTAAATCCGAACCTTTTGATGCGTGCTTCAAGGCGCAGCTCGCAAATTGTCAGCTGCAACTTATGCTTTAACATTAAAGCTTACGTAATCTTACGTAATGCGAGAGGCTGATGCAAACGTATGACATATTGAGCAAATCTCTAAGAAAAAGATTAAGGTACGATGCCAGTAAAGGAAATATGTTTTCCTATAATAATGCTGATGAATATTTTTATATAAATTTTAGATATTACATTTCCACTAAGTGCATGCCAGCGAAAAATTGAAATCTACCCATCTTGACTTGCACTTCTATTTATAAATATGTTTTAAGTGCATCGAATAACGAGCGAAGTGTTGGAATCAACGATGAGAATCTTCAAGCTGAAGAATAAGCTGTCGTTTATTAAAACTTTGATCCGCATTTGACATCCAAGAGCGTATGATATAAATTCTCACAAAGACGCCGATCGGATGCTTAGCAAAAACTTTCACACAACTATTTATCGCTAATTAACCACTTTTGTGGGCGAAATTTCCAAATTCGCTGAAACACGTATTTATTAAGTTCTTATTTAGAGCTTCTAAAAATAAGTTTGAAGCCAATCGGACATAACTTAAAACTTGGCCCAAAAAACCTTAGAATCGCATTTTCCACCGAGGAAGCTTTGATTTTACGAAAAATGTGAAACACGTCGCAAATAATTTTTCGTATAAATTCTTGGAAATGAATCTGAGCGCGAAACGTGACCCACGAAATCTTTGATCCGCATTTCCACCAAGGAGGAATGGATTTATCGAAATGTTCGAAATACCCCTCAAATAAGTTTAAGCCAAGATCTTTGGAAATGAGTTAAAGGCCGATCGGATGGTAAACAAAAAAGTTTCATACAAACGTTTTTAGCGTCTTTTCCACACATGCAGGTGGAATTTCCCCAAAACCCCGACCGAGTCTATCAGTCAGTCAGTCCACAGTGTTATATATAGAGATAGTTAATAATTCATTTTGTAATAACCAAAGTAGCATATCATGCTATATTTGCTTTATTTATCTATCTTTAATATCAATTTGTTCCATCTGTTCCCATCTATATGTATACAGCTCGATTTAGAACTTCTTTAAGTCGGGCATTTTATATTGGGGCACTTTAGTTGAAAATATAGCTGAAGCCGTTTACAAATGTCGCAAATGTCGTTTAATGGACTGCATTTGTCACATTTGTGACATTGTATGAAATACAATTGAAATTCCTTCTCCGGCTACACACTTTCACTTTCTGCTGGCCAAACGACTGCAACAGACGGCAGACACTCCAGAATCGTTGTTCGGTGGTCGGATGACGCCCACAACTGGGAACGGCGCTGTTAACTTGGCCCGCAATGTTTGGTCTCGGCGACGCCTTGAATCGATTTGGGGCGTGACAGCACAAATTTCACTGAAAAAACCAACAAAGTGCCGGGCGAAGAAGTCACGAAGTTATCTAGAAGAAATAGCGCGACAAACTGCGGCAAAAAATGTTTTTAAAAAAATATGGTAAACAAAAAGGTTAAGCTTGTAATCGGCTCGACGAAGAACAAATACCCTCTATACGAGCCATATAAGAGAGTATTCCGAATTGATAGGACTTTGCAGTTATGTGAAGAGGTAAGATATACCGAGCATGGCTAAACATAAAAGTATTTTATAAAAACAAGTTGTTTTTCGAACGATTTCATCGATGGAAATATACGATTCTCCGTTCTTGACAAGATTTTGCCCTTAATGCCAAGATTGTTTAAGATATCTTGAAAACCAAAATACTTTTTAGCTGAAATTAAAATTAAATTTGGATGAAGCACTTCATAGATCATTATATGGCGCCTGTATGACATATATGTCCGATTCAGCCGATATATAATACATATATAATAGAGATATAATAAAATATAATAGGAATATAATATATATATATTTTTTCCTGACTGAAAGCTTACTGATCGAACCTCCGTGAAGACAAAATATTTGTTGTTTTCTTTATATTAACAAATATGTATTTCTCGAAATGAAATATCTCCTTGTTTATGGTATGCCGAATGCATAGATGCTTGCTGCAAATTCGGGTTGCTTTACATCTGCCTGAAGTTGGCTTGCTTCAAAATGAATCTTTCAGACTGGGCAACGCCTGGTAATTTCATCTAGTAAATAATAATACTAATACTAATGTTTCTAGTCAATGGCCGTCTTCTCCCAGGCGTTACAGACTTCATAACTTAACTATAATACCCTACCCAAGCGTATAGAAATGGCTAAAAAAAATGTTAAATGCTAAACAAATCTAACAGCTTGCGATAAGATGGCCCAAATGAGCGAAGGGAGAAGCAAAAAAAAAGCATATAAAATAAAAATAAAAATACAAATACAGAAAAAAAAAACAACTACTAAATGCTCGAAAGGCAGTCGAAGAGTCGGCGACACATTAATTGCCGGCATTTGTCGGAAGAGTCGGAAGAAAGCCAAGTTAAGAGGCGGCCGTCGGTAAACGGCACGTTTGAGCCGCCGCCGCCAGCCGAGATGAGGGCAACGGCAATGGCAAGCGCACAGCATCAGCCGTCGGAGAGGGCCAAGTGCGCAGCCTCTTAACTGGGTCATATTCATAAGTAATGCGCCCAGCAGTAGCAGCGGCAGCAGCGGCAGCGGCAGCAGCAGCAGTTGGCCCTAAACTTTGCCGTTGCCAACTGCAGTTAGCTAAAAATGCGTGGACCGCTGAGTTTTGTATACCCTGTATTTATAGCAAATGGGTCTTATGCTAACTTAACAGTTGTAGGATATTTTGGATTAAGTTTATATATATTCTTGATCAGCATTAAGTGCTGAGTCGATCTAGTCGTCCATCCTTCTATTAGAGTGCATCTCTCTCTCTCTCCCTATCTCTCTCTTCCTCTCTCTCTATCTCTCTCTCTCTCTCTCTCCTTATCTCTCTCTCTCTCTCTCTCTCTCTGAAAACTCTTGAGATTTGAAATATATATTCTCCTGAACTATATGCACAAGAAATTTCTTATTTTATTTTAAAATTTCTTCTACTATTTTCCGAATATCGATAAATATCGATTTTAAGATTTCTTCTTAGAAGCATAACTCTAAGCTAACTAAGAGCTATAAGAGCTTCCGCTTGGTACACCCAAACTAAAAGTCTTTCATTTTTCGAAAACATGCCCAATTTCTTAAAATAAAGTAAAACCTTAATTAATAAAGGCTTAAACGCTTTGTGCTCTGGCATGTATACACATTAGGTCGCCATAGTTAAGTTCTAAGATTTTCATAAAGATCGGACAATAAAGTCCGAAGTTGACCAAGAGTGCATTTCCCATAGAAAGGGTCTTAGCTGTATGTCAAGCTTTTTGGAAGAAAGTTTGGTTTGTCTACAGGGTATTTGCTAGTCGAACACTGCTTACTCTTTGTTGGTTTCTTTTTGGATGCGTCTCGAACTTTCTTCAATTTGTTGTTTAGCACCTCACAACAAAGGCCGAGGGCGCGAATATAATAGCTGGCAGGTGCAAAATACGCGTCCATTGTGGCTGCCATTATTGTTGTTGTTGCATTGAAGCTGGCCCGCGTTGGGCGAACGCCTTTGAATGAGCCCAAAATGCGCGTAACGAAATATTTGTTTTATTTTTGTAGCAAATTGCTTTGTTGTATTCTTGGCAGAGAGAGCGCGCGCGCCCGCGAGGGAGAGGGAGACGGCCGAGGAAAGCGCAGTGAAAATGAAGATTTAAGCAGAAGAAGAAGAAAAAAAAAACCCGAAAAATAAATATAAGTGGGTGAAATTTGTAGAAAACGTTTTCGATTTTTTGGGGCTGATAACAAAGAACGAAATGAAAGTTGAAGATGCGCCCAAAAGAAATGCAAATCGCCCGAGTTGAGACAGACAAAGGTGCGTATGAGTGATGCCTGCATGCAAATTGCGAATGGAAAAGCGAAATGTGAAATGTGAGAAATGAAAGAGCATTTAAATTGTAGATATTTTTCGGAATTATTATTTGATTCTTTGATGTAGCAGCATTTGTTAGAGTTTTCTTTTCGGTAAAAGTAGGAAAACACAGTTCGAGTTCGAGATACAGATACAGATACAGATGCAGATAGTAGATAGATAGATAGATAGATAGACAGATAGTTAGATAGACAGATAGACAGATTGATGATAGATAGCAAAGAGCGACAGTTGGCTGCGGCCTTTGATTTATGGGCGCGACTAGTTTCAAGCATTTTGTGCACATAAATCAAAGCGACGCAGCCATGAAAATACAGTTAAGATACAGATACAGATGCAGATGCAGATACAGATACAGAGTGTAGAGTGAAGAGATATTTAGTATAGTACAGAGTGAAATTAGGTTGGGGTAGATGTTGGCTCTTGTTGTTGTTTTTGGTGTGCGTAGATGAAAAGTGAAGTTGTTGTTGTTGTTTGTGGTGTGCGTGTGTGTGTGTGTGTAAATGTTTTCTCGGCCGTCTCGCGACGCTGAGAGTTAACTTGTGGAAGGCACTTGATTGGTTGTCAGGGGCCATTGGCCCGCTCTCTCGTTCACGTTTAGGTAAATAAATTAAAAAATAAATAATTTATAAATAAATATAAATATAGACATTAATGAAATGGTCATCATTTTCTTCTTCTTCCTCGTCTTCTTCTTGTTTTGTTTAGCAGCGAATGTTCTCTCTCCTTGTCATCCATCGATTTGTGTGTGTGCGGACTGTCGCCTTACCGCCTGGTCTGCTTGTAGCCCTGGTAGGCGATGGTCTGGGCCACGGGCGAGCTGTAGGCGCCATGCGTGTCCCAGCCGGAGTTGCCGCCGGAGGACCAGCCGCCGCTGGCGGCACCGCCGCCCGAGGACCAGCCACCGGAGCTGACCGCAGGCGTGCCGGAGCTCTTGCCGCCGAAGAGGCCGCCGAGACCGCCGAGCAGACCGCCGCCGCCGCCGGAGCCGCCCAGGCGGCTGAGACCGCTGGATGCGCCGGCAGCCAGAGCCAGGAAGAAGGCGATCACGGACACAACCAGCGCCTTCTTGGCCATGAAGAGCAGACCGAAGATGGCGCCAACGGCGAGCACGGCAACCTTGGCGCCGACGCCCAACAGGATGGGCAGGAACTTCTTGAGCAGCTTCTTCTTGCGGGTGCGCGACTCGACGACCAGCTCACGCAGATCGGCCTTGATGTCATCGGGAATGGCGCGGGCGACGCTGCGGGCGGCATTGGCAAAGTTGAAGTTCAGCGAGCGTTCGGCAAAGAAGCTCTTCGCGTTGTCCATGAAATAGTTGCCCATCTCGGCGGTGCGTGCCTCCACGCTGGGCGCGGCCTCCACGGCGATGGCGTTGTCCAGCGATTTGCCCTGGCGTCCTTCATTGGCCTTGACCAATGAGACGCCGCCGAAGAGTTCGATTTGGGGATTGTCGAAGATGGACTTGGCCTTGCGGAAGAGCTGCAGGGAGAGAGAGAGACACGGGAGAGAAAGGGGAAGCACATATTAGCGAGGGCTTATTAACTGGTTCACAATAGTACAACTAATTTAACAATTATTATCAACAATTATTGTTCATATATTCCCAAGGCACGTTTAGCACACTTTCACTTCGCATCCTTTGCGTGTATTGTAAATGTATTTATATAGATTTTTTTTTAGTTTTTTTTTGCATGTCTTTAGAAGACTTTCACTTGCAGCTTCGTTCGTTCATCATCGATTTGCCGATGATATCATTTTCACTTTCACTTTATTATTGTCATTTGTTGTGTAATATTTAATCCTTGATTCTTGATTGTTAGTTAATCCGTACCGTGAGCTGGAGACACGAGATGGAATCAGCTTCCAGGCATTTGGCAAATGCGCCGCTCTGCTCGTCGCTCGTCGCCGCCGCTGCCGCCGCCACAGGATCGGCCGAGATGCCGGATGCCGCTAAGAGCAGGACGCAAGCGCTGACAATGAAGAACTTCATGGCTGTATTTCGGTTTTGTACTAAACTGAATTTCTTAAGCACCACCGAATTCACTGGTGTGTTCATTCGAATGGAACAAGCTGCGGTTTGATAATTTTTCGACGCTGTCAGGCTGTTTTTAAAGAGTTTCCAACCTAACGGACGCCTCGACGCGGCATAACGTAAAATTATGTAAAAAGTGCACACACACACACACAAACACGCACCCGCAAAGAGCAAGAGCGAGAGCGAGAGAGGGAGCGACCCAGCACTTGGGCCCAGGCAGCGACGCCGGCAGCGCATAAACAAATGTGAGAGGGCTTGAGCCGCCGCACACGTGCGGTCGCCGCGAGAGCGCCGCAGCAGCAGCATCTCAGCTCAGCTCTTAGAAGACGCGTTAGGTGAGCAGCGACGCCAACGCTAAATGCTCACGCGCTTTTGTCTGCCATGGCTGCTGCTGCTTCCGCATTAAAGAAAGTCAACAGCGCAGCGCAAGGGCTTGACACTGCGGCGGCGCAGCGTGAGAGCGCACGAGAAAGTTGCGCTTGTGGGCACAAGAGAGCGAAAGAGCTTATGAGCCAGCGCCAAGGTTGTCTGTCGTTGGTTCGTGCTCGCTCACGCAGCTCACATACACAAAGGCAGCTGCATATGATTTGCTGCTGCTCATCTGCCTTTGTCAGCAGCCTCCCCACTCTCGCACACACACACACACAGACACGCACGCAGAGAGCGAGAGATTTGTGTGTGCGTGTCGCCTGCTGTAGCATTCTTCGTTGAGTTATTGTTATTGTTATTGCTCTTCGTGTCTGTTGTTGTTGTTGTTGTTGTTGTTGCAGTTGAAGCTACACAGATTACAACACATGAGGTGATAAACAGGTGCTGCGCAGCGCTTATGCCCCCCACCACCCCGCTTGACCCCCCCTCACCCCCCTCACCAGTCGCAACTAGTGTGCCATATTCTTCTTCTGCCTTTGTTAATTTTGAACGCTTTTTGTTGCTGCTGTTGTTTTGGTTTTTTTTTTTTGGCCGCAAGAAATGAAAGTTGTGTGTATTATAATGTATTTTCGTACTACTGTTACTCAGTTGCCCCTTGGCCCCGTCGAGCTGGACCCGTCTGCCGCTCTTGGCAGAGGAGCAGGGCAGGTGGGACGCCGCAGGGCAGGTGGGCGGTTGTTTTTTTTTCTTTCTGGTTTATCGCATGTGCGCGCCTTGAAATTACTTTTCATATTCGTGACTTCATAGTTGTCTGCTGAAAGACGAGTAAGGGATGGGGGAAGGTTGTTATTATGCAACATTAACTGAGATTCATATCACAAATGGGATATAATTAAATTCAGCAGGGAGGCAAATACCAAATGTTCCTATGCAACGGGTCAGCTCGCAAAGAGTGAAACCGAATGATAAGCACGTTCTGCAGCTGCGATGGGGCAGGTGAAAATAGCCCCCCCCCCCATCCCAATCCCCTGCCAACACTCTGGGCACAATCAGATAAAAAAGCTGACTGACTTTGCAATTGTGACACATTAGTCAACAATTTGAGCTCAGCAAAAGTGCAAATAAGCGCGCGCTTCAATTGCTCAAGTGAAATGAAAGAGAAATTACACGAAAAGCAAACAAAAACGGATATGAGCTCTGTCCGTCCCGACCTCTGCGATAGATGATGCGAGGTTTCCAGCTCTGCAGATGGATGGATAGATACACGGATGGATGGATGGATGGATGGGAGTATGGGCTGGTTGGTTGGCATGGCGTCAAAACCAAATTCACGCTTTGCGCGCCGCCGTTTAGCAGCAAAAGTCAACAATTGCTGCCTTTTTTTTTGTAGCTTTTTTTCTTCAGTGTCTTCCATTTCAAGGTGAATGCGAGATGGGGACATACGAGACCCTCAGACACTATCAACTGTCAGGCGGATCTGCAGACTTACGAAACATAAGACTGAATCATTGTCATTATGCGGCGCATTTCGATGGGCGGCATACGGGGCGTATGTGTAATTTGCAGCCGCACAATTTAATCAGCTTTCGACGCAGCGACAGGTGTGTGACGTCAACGGTGTAACGGTAAAAGTGTAAAGCATTCGAACAGATTTCGTAACCAAGCCAAATCGAAAATCGGGGCGCAGCAGCCCGAGGCCGAGAGAAAAGCAAGCCAACACAAAAATCGGTTCATCTGCCAATGTTGAAATTTTCGATTTTCACCCAACTGCGATCGGCATACATTCAAATGCAAATGCGTGCAGCCACACACACACACATACAGTTGCATATCCGTTTAACAGAAATTTATGTTGGCTCACGCACAATCTGGCTAAGAGCTAACAGCGTAAATGTGGCCATAAGCCACAAGCCACAAGCCTTAAGCCGTGGCCATTCATACGAAAGGCAGCCAGCCGGCCAAGCCAAGTGTCGAGCTTTGGTTTTTTTATGAATGAATTTCGCTGTAGTTGCACGAGGCGTTGCCGCCCGCTCAACAGCTGCCACACGAGCTGCCACTGCTGCGGCAAGTGCCCCATGGCCAATGCCCAATGCAGTCCAAAACAAACAAATTGCCAAATACAAGAAATAGCCATAAATTTTCTGTCTGGCCGGCAACATTACATCAGCCATAACACACACACTCACACACACTCACACACACACACACACACACACACTCACACTCACACTCACACACACACTCACACACACACTCGCACTCACACACACTCGCACACACAGGCGTCAAATTAAGCCAAGGCTCAGCAATTTTTCAGTTAAGCTCCTCAGACATTTATCAGTTAAGCGCATTTAAAAGGATATTTAAATAAATGTAATTTGGCAACTGAAACTTTTACGTGTGTCGCTCGGAGATAATTTTTGCAGGCTACGATTTGCTTATGTTGCAATTTGTAATAATTAAATTAGTAATAAATTATAAAGAATAAAGAATGAATAATAAAGAACAAATAATTAATAACAAAAAATAAATAATAAAAAGTAAATAATTAAAATTAACAGCAATTAATAATAACGATTTATAAGCCTCAACAAAATAATTGATAACATAAAATATCTAAAAAAAACTTTCTACAAATTGTTTGCGACGCTTTTAAGACGAGGTCTGACATTGAAGTAAACTGTAGTACATTGAAAATGAGTTTGGATAGTTTAATTTTCTATTTTATACAGTTTTCTTTTTAAGTTGAGCTTACATCCAATTAAAAGAATAGAAAAATAAGATCGTGAAGCAAGTCTTCTGAGTAAATGCCTTGGCACTAGAGAAATAAGAGCCTTAAAGCCAAAGAAAATAATTCCTGACTTTTAAAGAGATTGGATATAGACTGGCAATAGACCCAGGCTCCATACATTAATAAATATTATATTTTTATATTTATTGATAAATATTTTCGTATTATATTTATTAATAAATATTTTTGTATTATATTTATTAATAAATATTTTTGTATTATATTTATTAATAAATATTTTTGTATTATATTTATTAATTGATGTATTATATAGAGAAATTGTTAACTCCTGCTCTACTTCTTCCTCTACTTCCATTTACAAGAGACTCCTGACAAAAGCGTGAGAAGTTCTGATCAAACCGAACATCATATATCGATATATTTAAATTATATTGGTGCAATGTGCATTTTACAATAGACATTTAAATAATGATTAATCTTCCCTCTTTGAATAATCGTAGAACTATGCTTGGTGTAAAATTTATTCATAAGTTAATTACGGGTGAAATCGACTCTTCTGGGTTGACCAGCCAACTAAACTTACCTGTCCCCACAAGACACCTTTAGACACCTTTATGGCTTCAATTTGGTTCAACTAACTATGCCTGGCATGAACCGTTCCGGGTCGTCTGTGATGTTTATAACAGACATTACAGGGTATTCTGCTCGGAGTCTTCTGTTCCTCATATGGCAATCGATAAAGACGGACAGACTCAGCTATTGCTGCTGATCAAGAATATATATACTTTAAGCGGTCGGATGATGCTTCTTTCCTCCTGTTACATACATTTTCACAAATACATTATACCCTTTTAGCCCATTTCCGATGGGTTTAGGGTATCAAAATGGATATATGCAGCGTTCGACTTTGCATAGGAAACAGCTGTCAACTGTGGGAAGTCTTTTAGTTTGTTCAAATTGTTAAAGATACAATTAATCAGATCGAAATATTGGACACTTTCAATTTTTCGCTGCCACGCAGATGTTATCTGAATAGTTTGGTTAGTTTTTATGGATGGGGGCATCTTCACCAGAAATAGACGTACTTTTCAGATGTTCTCACTTTCATTTCGCTTGACTCGGATTTTGTCTGAAAAGTCATTTGTCAGGCGACGGTTCGCTGGATTTTTTACAGTTTTTGGCCCTGTTGCTGTTTCAACAAAGTATTTGAATTAAATTATAGTTAAAATAAGCTTTTGGACGAGAAAGTTTTTTTTTTTTTTTTCATTTTGTGGTTGTTGTTTGGTTAATTTGCATATACAACAAAAGCGACTGTTAGAAACGAGGGGAAAATCTTTGCATCACAAAACTGTTGCGACTAATTAGAAAAGATTTTCGTTTCAGTTGGCGTCGATGTTTATCGGGGCCGCGCAAAGCCGGGCCAAGAGCCTCCAAAAGTTAACGGTGCCGTTAATGTACCGTGAGGCAGCGGCAACGGCAACGGCAACAGGTAAATAGTTTTCAGGTGCGATCAAATTGGTAGCACAATTTCACATTGTTTGCTGACATCTTTCTTCAGCTGCCGCGTATTTTGCCAATCAATTGCCACATTAACTGTGCGTGTGTGTGTGTGTGTGTGTGTGTCCAGACAGCAGAAAATATTTCATATACTATCTTGTTGATTTTGCATTAAATTTTTGTGCCGTTTGTTATTGAGGCCTCATGCAAAAAATATTTCTGGTACGCCATGTAGGTGTGTTTATATAAAAAATAACAAAACAACAACAACAACAATAATAACAAGCAGAACAACAACCACAAGCAAAAGCAAAGCAACAAGAGCTCCAGCCAAGGAGGAGCAACAATAGCAGAAGCAAAAATTTAATGAATAAATAACAACAATTTCTCGGAGAAAGTCGTG